CGAAAAGGAATTAAATTATTTTATTTTTCGTCTTTTGTCCTTTTTTTCTTCTTCTTTCTACATTTGATCTAATTTCTTATAATTACATCATTATAATTCGCAATTTTGCTTTCAAAACAACTATCAGCCAATACGCATCTAAAATCAATAGATGTTCAACATGTTATTTTTTCCCCCTTTCTTTTTATTGCAACAACGGATATAGGGACTGCTAGAAAGTCATTTGGTCTGAAGTGCTTAGAAGGAAATTGAAAGAGAGATAAAACTGGTTGAAGAAAAAAATGGGTGAATTTCGTTTTCAAATGACAGATTAAGGTTGGTTGGTTGGTTGGTTGGTTCCTTAGTTGCTTCGTTGGCTGGTTGGATGGTTAATTGGTTTGTTGGTTGGTTGGTTGGCTGGTTGTTTGTTTGTTTGTTTGTTTGGTTGGTTGGTTGGTTGGTTGGTTGGTTCCTTAGTTGCTTGGTTGGCTCGTTGGTTGGTTGGTTAGTTTGTTGGTTCCTTAGTTGCTTGGTTGGCTCGTTGGCTGGTTGAATGGTTAATTGGTTGGTTGGTTGGTTGGTTGGTTGGTTGGTTGGTTGGTTGGTTGGTTAGTGTGTTGGTTCGTTAGTTGCTTGGTTGGCTGGTTGGCTTATTGGTGAGTTGGTTGGTTGGTTGGTTGGTTGGTTGGTTGGTTGGTTGGTTGGTTGGTTGGTTGGTTGGTTGGTTGGCTCGTTGGCTGGTTGGATGGTTAATTGGTTGGTTGATTAGTTTGTTGGTTCGTTAGTTGCTTGGTTGGCTGGCTGGCTGGTTGGTTGGTTGGTTGGTTGGTTGGTTGGTTTGTTGGTCGAATTCCATTTTCAAATGACAGATCAAGGTGGGTGGCTTGGTTTGTTGGTTGGTTACTTGTTTGATTGGTTGGCTGGATAGTTGGATAGTTAGTTGGTTGGTTGGTTAATTGTTTGGTTGATTAGTTGGTTGGTTGGTTGGTTGGTTGGTTGGTTGGTTATATTTAGTAGCATATCAATCTCAATGTGTTATTTAATACCAAAATGTGAATATAGTTTTATGTCTTCAACTACAGATAAAATATAATCCTCTTCATTTCGCTATAAAATTTATTATTTGTAATTATACTATAAATATGTATCGTTGGTGACATTTTTTATATGAAAATTTATTGCTGGTATTTTTACTATAAAATGTATTTTCATTCTTTCATAGTGTTTGAGTGTTCACCATTTGCCCATGGCTGAGGCCCTAACAGGTGCTACCACTCTTGGCCAGAGTGGACCTGGAAACAGCAGCAACAAAAATGTTGTTCCATGCTCCTCAAAACCTCCAATCTTCCAAGCAGAGGCTTTGCTGCCGGATGTAGTTTATCGTCATACCCAGGGCTAAAGATCAAAGAGAGTCGGGGCGGGAGGGGGAGTATGAGTTTAAAGAAGGTAATAAAAAATAAATGAATAAGTGATTGGCTGGGAAATCTCCAAAGAAACAGAAAAGCAATAAACATGTTCCGTGAGATGGCGCAGGATCAGCTTCTCGATATAATCATTGAATACGGGATATGGGATGCGCGGGTGGTGTAATAGATAGCAGTTCGGAATAAAAAAAAAAGTCGGAAGGCCGAGTTCGAATTCCAATCGAGTTTGTTACATTCACTTACGTGCAAATACTTTCGGGAGAAGTTATCATTAAATCTCTCTTCTCCCTCACCACGAGCTATGGGTTAAATAGTAGGACTTGTACCTGGAAAAAAAATCATTGCTATCTCCAAAAAACTGTTAAGGTAATATTCATTCGCAAAAAAAAAGAAACAATTATTCATACAATCCAAAATATCAGCTTTATATAAGCTTATAGGGTTGATAAGTCGTAAAAAATCAGTCAATCAATCATTGATTTCAGACTGAAAACGCCTACTGCCGGGGGTGCAACGCATATGTGAATAGTTGTCCGCTCTCTCATCATCCACACACACAAACACACATATAAATACACATCTATATACACACTCCCTTATACAAACATACAGACACACATACACATAAACACACCCATACACACTGATGTACAAACACCATATACACACATACACACACGTACACATAGACATACACACATACACATAGACATCCACAAATATACACACGTGCATATACACACCCATATACAGACACACACATATACACACATACAAACAGATAGACATACACATATCCACCTACACACATATACACATAGACATAGACACATATGCACATACATGCCCATATATAGACACACACACACATTACGCACGCATACACACTAATATATACATACATATAAACACATACACGCACATAGACATACACACAAACACATACATACATACATACATACATACATACATACAATCCTTGCAATATACGAAAAGCAACAGGATGAAAAGGAAACGAAGGAAATGTAATTTACAGAGTTTTGCGATGCTTAATTAAACAGTCTTGAAGTTTCGGTACTTTTCTTAGATTCCGTTTCCTGAATTCTTCGATGTCTCCGTAAAATTTGCAAATTAAATTGCGTAAGTACGAGTCTTTGATCACCAGAGAGAATCATTGATATATTCGCATCTTCATGGCTGACGCTAACCTCTAGCAGAGCAAATGACCAAACCTTCTTCGTCTCACGTTTTCTACTGACATGAAATGGAGCGATTGTATTGAAACAATTGCTAGCTCTGCTGATAGGAAAGTTGGTTCACTCTGTCGTGCAAGACAATTTGTCTCTCGAGAATCTATCTTATATATTTGTTATGGTCCAATATCTTCGCACCACAGTTATGGTCCAAGATTAGAACCAAGGAAGAACAACACGAACACAAGAGTAGAATAACAAAGATATATTACAACAGGAATATAGTACAAGAAGTTGAGGGTGTTAATAATGACTGTCCGTCTGGTTTAGAGTGAACTAATATTGTCTCGACTTGTTACACCATTCATTGTATTTAATATCCCACCCACGAGAAATATATGTGGCACGAGGTCGACATTAAAGTGGGTTTCTCCGAGCTCGTAAGCTCGGCCAAAAATATGCCCTTAAACCCGCCTAGACGGGTTCAGGCCCTGTCTACCTCCCCGGACGAAACCTTGCCCTTCGGCAAAGCTTCGTCCGGGTTCCTCTCTGGCAAAGCAGAGAGTTCGACAGACGTCGCTTACAGTCAAAGACTGTATCACGACTCAGCTAGACTCGGAGATCTTACCCTCTCGGTCTATCTGTCTTAGTATTTATCGATCCCCCCACGAGGATTGAATGTGGCACAAGGCCGGTTTAATGTGGGTATCCCCGAGCCCGTAGTCTCGGCCAAAAATATACCCTTTGAACCCGCCTAGACGGGTTCAGGGCCTGTCTACCTCCCCGGACGAAACCTTGCCCTTCGGCAAAGCTTCGTCCGGGTTCCTCTCTGCTAATGCAGAGAGTTCAACAGTCATGACCTGGTGCTCGTTGCATTATTCATTCATTATACCTCTTGAGAGGCGCAGTATTTATAGTGTCAGGAAGAGTCCATTATCGTAATAGGTAGGTTCCCATAACAATATTTATAAGTCTACCATTCGTCCTTACTTTGAATATTGCTGCCATTTGGTCTGGTGGTTTTGCTATATATCTAGACATTCTTGAAAAAATACAAAGAAGAATCTGTAATTTTACAGTCGAAATGTCTAGATGTAACCGTAAGTTCTATGCAAAACCGTTTCCTCTCTCGCATTTCTCGCTTACGGAACTGTTGTATAGCCCCCTATGCTATGAAATCTTGGCGGCGGCATCGATAATAAAGTTGCATTCTTCTCTCGCGGCCGGTGATCGCTAGTGAGTCCAGAATTAAAAGAACTTCAACACAGGGAATTTTACTTAACTATTTTATTAAAGTTCCTGTCGACATGTTCTAACTATCCAGTGGGGTCGTTCCCCCTCTACTGGGGAGCCGTTTCGGACACGAAAGAAAACATGTCTACATTGTTTGACGGTGATGAAACAACTCCCTGAAAACACTTTCTCTATATCTGTCATTCCCACTCTAGCTCAGCCAATCAAAATCGACTTCCTTATTTTGTCTTCCATCTGACCTCTAAGGTCAACCTCAGGAAATCCGAGAAAAGATACACTTCCCCAAAAAAATAATGGTCTGCTTAACCATTATTTAACAGTTTATTACTTTTCAGTCACGGTTGAAATGCAATGTCAGTCGCTATCTACAGCCTTCCTTTACTTTTGTTCTCGCTCTTTAATAATGTTTTCGATTTTCGACCTAATCCGGCTCCTATAAAGGTATAGGATAGCCGAAAATGTTAAGTACTTACAAGAAAGGTAGAGGGAACGGACTATTTTTTTCAACCTCTTTATCGATGGATAGAATGTACGAATTCCATTTGAGATCTGGGTTGAGATTAAGCCACAGTAAGCGCTCAAGACACAGGGTCTAGCTAAGAGAGCCCTCGTTCATAGCAATAGCCGAAAACTTTGGGTCTACCATGGACTGGTTTTGTGATGAACTAGGAAATGTTAAAGAGAATAGAGACTGCACCAAAACATCTGCAAAAAATAGAAAGTTTACAGTCGACATAGCGAAGAATAACGACGCAAGGAGGAGCAGAGGGTAATCTATCTGACACATCTGAGTGAATAGATATCAGAGCAGGGAGAAAATAGGGTGGTAAAGAGGGGAATGGTATTTATAACAGCATTAAAAGTGAAGATGTGGAGAGCCATGATTGTTATCCATCTGAAGAGACATGGCATATTAAAGAAGAGGAATATGCCAAAATCTGCCAGACTTGATTGTCGCCCGGCCAATAATTATTTTATCAGTGAAATCAAAAACGTTTCGAAAAAATGGAAAGGGAGATAATTTGTTATTTCTACTGGCGTGTTCGCAATTACGACGACAGAACGATATTAATTTCTGGAGAAAACGGATTTGTTGTTGGATTATAATGTTAATCGTAATGACAGAACAGAAAGGTATAGGAAGAGATGTTTAAAAGATATTGGAAGATAGCAAAAATGCATAGAAAGTGGAGGGAAAATAGAAAGAAAGAAAGAAAGAAAGAAAGAAAGAAAGAAAGAAAGAAAGAAGGGAGAAAGGTTTGTACTGAAGGGATAGAAAGGCAGTCAAAGAAAGAAAGAAAGAAAGAAAGAAAGAAAGAAAGGATAAGGGTTTGTACTGTTGGGATAGAAAGACAGTCAAAGAAAGAAAGAAAGAAAGAAAGAAAGAAAGAAAGAAAGAAAGAAAGAAAGGAGAAAGGAGAAAGGTTTGTACTGAAGGGATAGAAAGGCAGTCAAAGAAAGAAAGAAAGAAAGAAAGAAAGAAAGGTTTGTACTGTTGGGATAGAAAGACAAAGAAAGAAAGAAAGAAAGAAAGAAAGAAAGAAAGAAAGAAAGAAAGGAAGAAAGAAAGAAAGAAAGAAAGAAGGGAGAAAGGTTTGTACTGAAGGGATAGAAAGGCAGTCAAAGAAAGAAAGAAAGAACGAAAGAAAGAAAGAAAGGTGTGTACTGTTGGGATAGAAAGACAGTCAAAGAAAGAAAGAAAGAAAGAAAGAAAGAAAGAAAGAAAGAAAGAAAGAAAGAAAGAAAGAAGGGAGAAAGGTTTGTACTGAAGGGATAGAAAGGCAGTGAAGGAAAGAAAGAAAGAAAGAAAGAAAGAAAGAAAGAAAGAAAGAAAGAAAGAAAGAAAGAAAGAAAGAAGGGAGAAAGGTTTCTACCGAACAGATAGAAAGGCAGTCAAAGAAAGAAAGAAAGAAAGAAAGAAAGAAAGAAAGAAAGAAAGAAAGAAAGAAAGAATGTAGAGAAGAGATCAAAAAGCACCGGAAGAAGGAAAGAAAAAGAAAGAAAAAAACATGAGTGCCAAGAGAGATTGAAAAAGAAAGCGACAAAGAAAAAAAAAAGCAACGTATGGAAATTGGAAGTAAAAGACATTGAAAAAAAGAAACTTAATGACTATAAAATTGGGAGAAAAGTAGATACACAAAAATAATCAGTGAATGAACAAGAGGAAGAAAGAAAGTTTATATGTTACTGTGTGTATATGTGTTTGTGTGCGGGGTGTGTGTGTGTGCCCCCGCTCCTGCATATGTGTATTTGGGCGATCACATAAATAGTGAGATTGGGGTAGAGGCGCTGGGTGGTGGTAAGAAAACAAACACAAGAATCGTTCGAACGAGAGTGAAACGCTAAACCTACTGTAGTGAGGGCGAGTGAGAAAAAGAAAAGGCAAGCAGAATCGAACAAGTTGCAGTTATTTCGATGGTGGGTGGAAAATGAGCGAGCAGAGAATGAGAAAGAGGGGGAGGAGTGGAGGGGAGGAGTGGAGGTGGAGGCGTCCAGAAACTATTATTATTAAGGAAATGAAAATCGAAGTCCGAATGTGAAGCTCCATCCATCCAGACCCCACCAAAGACCAAAAAAAAAAAAAACGAAAAGAAAATCTTTGTCATAAAAAGATGATTGATGCCGAGAAAGAAATAAAGAATATATTTGGACGAATGATGCAAAGGAAAGGATAAAAGCGATCAAATCAAGGACAAATAGAAAGGAAAAGAAGAGTAAGGAAACAGAGAAAAAAAAAACATGTGCCATTCTTTCGCGTATATCATTAGAGGATTGGACAGCGATTCTGTCAGATGAGAGCATATCATTAAATGAGGCCGATTAAGCGGGAAACGCACGTAACAGTTTGTAATGACATTCAATTGCAAATGATGGATCAGATTCATGACAGGATACAAACTACTTCTACTTTAGGACAATCACAAAACGGTTATCTACCTATCTATCTGCAGCGAAAGATCATCGATCTGAAGAGATAGATAGATAGATAATGACTTTTAAATAGGTACGAAGAGACAGTGATAGATAGATAGATATATAGATATATAGATAGATAGATAGATAGATAGATAGATAGATATTGTGGTCGATAGACGGCTAATGAAGTATTTTACATAGGTACGAAGAGACAGTGATAGATAGATAGATAGATAGATAGATAGATAGATAGATAGATAGATAGATAGATAGATAATGAAGAGTTTTAGATAGGTACGAAGAGACTGTGATAGATAGATAGATAGATAGATAGATATTTTGGTCGATAGAAGGATAATGAAGACTTTTACATAAGTGCGAAGAGACTGTGATAGATATATTTAGATAGATAGATAGATAATAAAATTTTAAATAAGGAAGTAGAGACTGTAATAGATAGATAGATAGATAGATAGATAGATAGATAGATAGATAGATAGATAGATAGAAACAGATTTTGATAGATAGATAGATAGATAGATAGATCCTTAATTAGTGAATATACCGTAAAATATCCCAACTCATTAGGGCTTCTGCTGTAAAAACGGCAATACGAAAAGGTTTTTCGTTTTTTTTTGTTTTTTTTTCTTCTAAATAAGCCTTCCTAGTTATGATTCATGCAAGCACCGGACACTCAAAAAAAATGCTAACAAAGGGAGTGAATGGTTTTGGTTAGTTCTTATACATTCTTTGCCTCCCAGTTTTGGTCAGATTACTTAACCACAAACGCAACGTTTATTGACTGCTAAAGAAGAATTCTGCTCTACAGTCCAAATTGCGTAACACGGGAATCGTGAAGTAAGAACATCTAGCGACAACGACACAACATCGTTATGAATGAGGCAGCAACGTCAGAAATCGTTGAACCAACCAAAAAAGTTCAGAGGTTACAAGGTTAGCTGGTGCCAATGATATCGCTTTAGAATCTTGGGAACACGGAAGTGGTGATTAATTATTCTACACCTTAAACAGATTTCCGTAAGGATGCTTTCCGTACACTCTAAACTTAACGTCTTTTGGTCTAGAGTCAGTCGGGAGCTATCGTCTAATACCTGCTTTCAAAGTCCTCCCCTTACGTTCACATCGCACATCGCATTCATTTAGTCTTTACCTCGAATTGTTCTTGGACCCTATATTGGGGGAACATTCGTAAAAAGAAATCCCCTCTAGTGTATCGCCATTATTCTTTCGTATAATGTAGAAACAAGCTACACAGGTGATTGATGACAGGGACAGCGTGTTCTATTTTTGTTTCTTTCTTTGTTTTTTTCTTTCTTTCTTTCTTTTTTAGCATTTCACCTCAAGCAATGTAATAAAGCCACTAGGACGCAAGAGGTTACTGTATGTTAGAGAATATGAAAAAAAAAACACTATTAAACAGAGCGGGCAATAAAAGAATAGAAATTAAAAAAAAAAAAAACAGGAGAGAGCGATTAACATTGCATATAATTTTTTAAAGATCAAAGTTGACTGGGAAGCAAAAAGCCGGAAGAGAGTTCCACAGGTGAGAATTGTGATAGAAGAAACTGTTTGCATAGAACTTATCTAGCCATTTCAACTATAAAATGATGAGACCTTACCGCCAATCTAGTACTGCGCTTAAATTAATAAAGTCTAGGTAATACAGAGGAAAGTTCATCAGAACGATTACTGTTGTAACCTAGGAAGGGTTACTGAATGAGGAATAACCAAAACGGAGTTTGGAAATGAAATGGTAATCTTTATAACATCAACAAAATATAATACTCGCCAGCGACGTGTAGTAGGTAAACCACTGCTAGTGGTGGACTACTTAGACACCATATTACCCTCCACGTACAATAGTGTCCAACGCATGTATGAGGATTGGGACATACTCATTAGTGCTCGTAGTTACGTTATATAACAATTACCATGAAAGTATTTACAGAAAAGACACAGGGCAGCTATGTTACGGCGGTGGATAAGGGACTGGAGTCGAGATACCAGTTCATTGCAGATTCTCCTTTGGATTTTTTAAAGGATCTCTAAATATATAGCAGGAGCACCGATCCTGACACAGAAAAATGTCAACCTGTTCAGCCGAACGGTTAAATGGGCTTTCACTAAGACTCCAGGGTAGCTGTTTGAAGATCTGTTTTCAGAAAATACAGGTATAGTGGCTCAGTGGTAGGCGCCCTTCCTGCCCTTGCTTAACAAATCTGATTTTTAGAACTTCTTTTGAATGTGTGTTTTTAATGTTGTTCACCCAATACAATCCCCAAGAGCCACTCAAGGTACAGGGTTACTGAATGAGTTCGTTTTAAGACGAAGTAATAAGAAGTGTAGACTATGAGTCTGTTATGTAGTGAACGATTTTTTTTTCTCCGTATGAGTTCGAATCCCTCGTCGCCAAAGTTGTTATGTAGTGGTTTCACAGTAGAGGCTTGTATTTGTACTAAGTCGGTCCTAAAATAGGTTCGACGTACAAAACGTTAGGAACTTGATATAATAGGTAATGACACAGTAATCTAGTTGGGGTGGCTGATACTTTAATATCCGACTAACGGTCGTCCGACATCGACTGACTGATCAACTCCGCCCTGAGCGACTGCTACTACTACTCCTACTTATTATAGGTGGGAGAGTCTATTAACTATAGAATAGGTGTGTTCCACTATAACAGAGGCTAGGTACGATAGATAACGGTTGATCTTAGAAATGAAGAGGCTAAGATTATAGCGATCGAGGAAGCATCCCTTGAGAATTCTATCCCACAATGTCGCAGATGTTGCGAAGAAGTTATCGGAGTTGAAATTTCTTCTTACCTAATGAATACGAAGGGAATGCGGACAATTCGGCTCTGAGGTCGTAGCATGGATTTCCCTACCTGTAAAAGCCTGAACTGATGAAACTAAGCAGCGTAGATTGTCTGGTCATTTGTAAATGGAAATCACGACAGACTAGCGACTTTTAGACTGTAGGGAAAGGGGCTGTAAGGTAGAAAATAATTATTTACCCAGAAGACAGCGTAAACATTTTTTGAGAACTATAAAGGCTAGAAAATGAAGATTGAACATTCCAGTCCAAATATTGTGAGCAAAGATCTGCCGCCTAGGAACGTCAACAGACTTCTTCTCATTTCAATGGTACCTGCTAAGAATTTATTTTATTTTATTTTATTTTATTTTATTTTATTTATTATTTTATTTATTTATTATTTTATTTTATTTATTTATTTATTATTTTATTTTATTTTTTGTAATTTTCAGCGTATTTTATTCTATTCATTTGTTTATGTTTTTTCTTTTGAAAGCTCTGAAGTTATTAATAAATATTTCTCTTTATCTGTCAAATCAGCCTGACAGTCCATTTAAAGATGCAAACTCGTAAGATGGCTATTAATTGAGATTTCGAAATTCAGGAAATTTCATACAAATGGCTGCCATTTTTGTTTTATTTTTTGTTTGTTTTTGTTTTGTTTTTTTTATCTGCGCAGAACGAACCGGTTATCATGCCTACTGCGCAAATAGATAATGCCTTCAATCAGTAAGACATAAGCCTTTATATTCAAACAAGTATTTATTTTATATATCGCTGACGTGAAAGTGCATATGAAATATTAAAATCTCAGAATTTCAAAATGCATGCAAAATTTAATGCTAGGCAAGCAAATAAATAGATTTTGTTGGGTTTATTATTGAAAAATGGAGAAATTATGATTTTTTTTAGATCATATAGATGGAAAAGTAGGTATACAATAATGAAAACCAAAATGTGCGCACAAAACGTATTTTATTGATTAAAGAAACATCAATAATGAACCTGTCAAATGTTCAAAATGTTTCCACCTGTCATTCACACACTCCTCTTTACCTGAAAATTATTTGTTTTTATTATTATTATTGTTATTATTATTATTGTAGAATGATTTATTTGCATTAAATTAGTTTTCATTTAAAAATAAAGCTTAATTATATAATATTTCTTTGCTTATTAAAACCTCAAAATTTTTATTAGTGAAAAATAGAATATTGTTGTCTTATGTCAAATAGCTGTTAAGGGGTCCAATAAGAAAAAAAGAAGGGAAAAGTAGTCCGTGGGTAAAAAAAAGGTTGAGAACCACTGTATGAAGTAAATTCTAGAACAACTATTACAACATTAGTAATAATAATACTTATTGTATACCTACTTTCTTATGGAAATATAATAAATTCATATCAATCAGAAATGTAGGATAGATTAATTAACACCTAAAATAGTATTATTGGATATATCTAATTACTCAGCTTAAAAAAAAACAACAAACTTTTATTTAAAACAACAATATTACAAATGCACTCAGCACAATAGAAAATAAAACATAAAATAGTCAATTGTTTACAAAAGGTATGTGATATGTCGGCCATATTTGTTTCTCTCTTCATTCTTAATGAAAGACATTATTTTTTTCATTTTCATAGTTTAATATACAGGGGGTGCAAAAGTAGGTATACAGTAATGAAAAACAAAACGTGCGCACAAAACGTATTGTATTGCTTATATAAACATATCAATAATGAATCTCTCAATTGTTCAAAATGTTTGCACCTGTCATTCACACACTCCTCTTTACCTGCATATCATTTATTATTATTATTATTTATTTAAAAAAAAATTAAAAAATTTAATAAATGATTTATAATAAAAATTATGAAAATAAAGATATTAAAAATGATTTTAATCAATTTTAATATTAAATGAAACGGAGAATCACTATTATAATGATTTCATTTGTTTGTTTAACGGCGTATCAACTGATTATATGTCATTTAATGTCGAAATTCACTTCTCTTATTAGCTTTGAGGAAATAAAAATATGATATGTTATTCTGCTTTCACAGTTGAATACATGGTAGATGATGCTCAGCTTTTGTGTATATACATGTTTGTGTGAACATCATTACGAGAGACGGTGATATGTGTGTTTTATGTTGGAGTTTTGCTGAAGTTATATTTTGGAATAGAGTTTGATTTCTTTATAAAATCGTAGAATATTATATGGACTAATGTCATGAAAGAGTTCTTTCATGTTGGTCGGTTGATTGATTGATTTTGTTTAGTTGCATATCAACTTCTAGCGAAATCTAAATATTTGAACACAGTTTTATGGCTTTAACTAAATATATATTGAACGTAACTGTCTGCTTTCAACTACAGATAAAATGATTTGTTAGCCATTTCGCTATAAAATGTATTGTTGGCAATTCTACTATAAATTTGTATTGCTGGACATTTTGCTTTTAAAATGTATTGTTTCTTATATATATATATATATATATATATATATATATATATATATATATATGTGTGTGTGTGTGTGTGTGTGTGTGTGTGTAAAAGTTCATAGTTAGATTTGCTCTACCTAGTGTATTGAGCACTTTCCTTAGTTACTTTTGCTTTATTCGTGTTGGAGGGTTTTTTTCTTTGGACTCTGAGCTTGGATTCTGGACGATTGTTTACGCCTCAATTTCATGGTCTTAGTTCTTTCTTTTTTTATCCCTTATTTTTCCTTGGGTATTGGTTTGTTCATTTGCAAGCCAAAACACCTAAGGTTTTTACCGACGAGTATAATTACTTATATATATATATCGGGTGTACGGACATGCATCTATGTTTGCGTTAGCATGAGTGACATCACAACGACGATTCCCCCTCCACTTCCATAATAACACCAATAAACGCAATCTACATAAACCCAAAATTTTAAAAAAATTAATCAGTTTGTCTGACGATCGCAAAAGCGTGAAATCCAGGGTCACAAACTCACATCAATTCAACCAAATATATTAGGTCTATCTCTGATATTGA